GGGGTGGCCGTGGTAGGAGCGTTTCGGCCCGGGTGAGCTGTCGCCTCCCTCCCCCGAAAATGGCCGGGGCCGGCGGTGGAGGAGAAGCCCAGCGGTGCGCTAGCGCCGGGCACCGTCTGCAGGTAGCTGGTGTCCTCCAGAGGAGCGCCTGAAGGTATTAAAGGCGAGCTGGTGAGGGTAGACTGGGCGGGGAAACGACGTTTCCCTCTAGTGAGAGACCGCTGGCATTACCTCTGTAAGGTGGCCGGGTTAGCGTGAGCGGGGCTAGAAACCTAAGGGCTGAGGAGAGCAGGAGCGGTACAGGTGCAGTTGACCTCAGAAGTCTTGGGGACAAAACAGCAACGATGCTTTTCTGCTTAAGACTGAGGCAGAACATGGGACCTGCCAAAAGCATTTATTTTTCTTCCTCCAGCAAGGTCAGGGAACACGCAAGTTGTTCAGAGAAGTGATTTGTTAAACGCAAACATTAAATTCTAAGCAGAGAACGTAACACTACAGCTTTAGATATACACAAGAAACAGACATCTCTTTGAATGCAGGTCACACTTTATTTTGAAGTCTGCTTGCCATTATTCCAGCCTTAGCACAGGGACCACACCAGGACATAAGTTACCGAAATAAGTTACCTTAGAAATGATTACAAAGGATTGTTTGCTGGGAAAATAACCAGCACCTATCTCCCCTATTTTAATAACAGGATATCCCATTAGCATGGCAGAGTAACTCCTGGAAAAAGCTGCATCATTTGCCACCTTCTTAATGGCTGCAAAAGGCTTCATGCATGGAGTTACTTAGACACAAACAGAAGATCGCTGAAGTCATTTATATGACTAGGAAAGATAATCCCACTGCAAATTGGCATGCTTAAAAGAAAATCCCACCTTGCTAAGTGTTTCTCTATGAAAGAAAAAGTGTTTGGCTGATCCATAAAGAGAAGTGTCTTCTGGAGAAGCAGCCTCCTGGCCCCAGCTGTTCATGGTCTGCTGCAGGGCTGAGCCTCTCCGGAAACACAACATGCAGAAAGGAAGTCATGTCTGTAACACATATTTTTAAACTTGTAGAAGGAGGGAAATGGTATCAAAGGTCAAGCGCATCATCCTCTCGATCTCTGCAGCTTGGATGAATTAAAAACAAATCCAACATTAAAAAAAAGTTGAGACCAGTTCTCTCCCACAACTTGTCTCAGCAAGAATTAGCCATTCACACATACAGCTGGGCTGACTTAGAAAGCGGAAGTACAGGTCCCTATCTTGCCTTTCAGTGCAGCAGCATGATTTAAAAAAAATAGTAAATCAATATATGGAATCACCCCACCTTGGTTATCAAGTCTCCATGCAAACTACATCTTACTGTAAACCCAGCCTGGGACAGGGAGAGAGCAGGAGGCAGTCTTAGCATGACTGGTAGTTGGACACACAATTAAAAGATAAAATGCTGTTCTAGCCAGGGAGCCTTGGCCAGAAGAGCTGGAATTCTTCAGAGATCTTCCTCTGGTACATTAGTTTTTATCTCCTTTGCAGCCAGTGCCACCTCTGTGTCTTTCTCTGCTTTCTCTTCCAGCTTCTCTAGCACTTCACACCCTTCCCCCAGGATCCTGTTTGCTCCCTTTGGCTCTTCAGGTGTCTTAGCCACCTCCTTTGACAATGGAGCTTTTTCTAGCATAGGTGATTTTATATCAGTCACCAAAGCTTTCTTCTTCTGCTTTCTGCTATCCTGTGACACTTTAGCTATTGCCCTGAAAGGACCCACAAGCCAGTTTAGAGGGGTGTTCTGAGTTACATACTCAAACAAGTCATCTAGGGACATTCGGGCTTCTGCCACACAGTCCTGGCTCTGGGTCAGGGTGGTGGGGGAGAGGTCCTGGAAAGACATAGCACTGGAAAAAGAACTATGGAGCTTGTGGATATTTCGAGTGGCCTGATACACAGCTTCTTGGATGTTGCTGGGGAGGCCTTGGATGCTGGCTTTCAGATTCTCATAAACAGGTTGTAGCTGCTGGGTGATGATACGCAGCATAGCTAGAGTCCGTGACTCTACCTGCTGGGAAAGAGATATAGCTCAGTTACTAGGGCAGATGAGGTGTACACCATCCACAAGAGGCCTGATTAAATATGCCCTTCTAGGGATACCTCTGCTTGGGAGGCAGTTTTAACTTGGTTTCCCTTGGGTTGGGTCAGGCTCCAGTCCACCCACAGCTGATGGAGCTTCTCCTGCCCATCCAGAAGCTTCTGGCCAACCTCCTTTTTCACAGATTCAATCTGATGGGAAAAATGAGAGGAAGAGCTGTATTGCAAGCACACAATCAGAGAAGCACAAGTGCTTCCCTCCCAGGGAGGGATCCAAGATGACATGCAGCTGGTACAGAATGGAGGAAGAGCTTCCATCTGGATAGTAGGGCAGGAAGACTACAGACAGGAGGAAAGAGGAAAAAGCATGTTTGTACCAGTTTTATTGCCAGCTGTAGTCGTGAGAGAGTATCCTGGGTGCTTTGCTTAATGCGCTGCACTTTGTTCAAGGAGTGGTGGTAGGCTCGGTGGCGGACTTTGTTAGAGAGGGAACCCAGACGCACAAAGTAACTCTGTTGCTGTTTCTGCTCCTCCACAGAAGCCATACCAAATCCCTCCACAGTGGTGGCCAGTTTACCTGGAGGAAACAAGAAGAGAGATGCAGCTGTGCTCCACTCCCACAGCTGTAAGGGGGGGAAGAGGCAAGATCACTCATTAAAAAATATGAAGGCTGAAGCTGTGTAAGCAGTAGAGGTTTGTAGTTGCTCAGATATTAAAGGTAGGCTAGTCCCTGCTCAACATGTTCTCTTCAGAGAAGCAGACTTGACAGATAGGTTGAAGCAGGCACCCACGTGTTTATTTGCCTTGAGGCTGATGGGCAAGGACCAGCTAGCAAATGCTTGAACTCTGTCCCATACCATGTGGCAAGTCAGTGTTGACAGACAGCCAACTTGGTGACAAATTCAGAGCTACCTGTCTACTTCAGAAGATGGGTCTTGCAGAGTCAGGTGCTCTCTAGTCATGTGGGAAAGGATTTGCGTTTACAACCGCCAGCTAAGCATTTTCTCACCTAGTTCCTCCTCTGTCATCGGGAGGTACTGATCCACCAGATCTTCTGATATACCCAGGACAGATTCCACACCACCTGCCACTGCTTGGCTCACTGCCTTGGCTTTGCTTATGCTGTTGGTCACCACTGAATTAGTCTTCTCCACACCCTCCTGGATAGCCTCTTTGCTCTGCTCCAAAGCTGTATTTATTTTGCTAGTTATGGTGCCATATGCAGCATCCAGAGCTGTATTGACTGTAGAAGTGACCACTGATTTGGTCTTCTCAACACCATCCTGAACAGCCCCTTTGGTTAGGTCCATTGCTTCAGTCACTGTGTTGGTCACAAGATCCTTTGCACCCTGGGCAGCCCCTACAGCAGCAGTAATCGTAGAAGCAACTGCAGACTTGGTCAGTCCAACACTGTCCTCCACAATGTGTTTACTGAGGTCCACAGCTTCAGTCACCTTGTTAGTCACAAGGTCCTTGGCACCCTGGGCAGCCTCCACAGCATTGACAATAGTAGAAGCAACTGCAGACTTGGTCAGTCCAACGCTGTCCTCCACAATGTGTTTACTGAGATCCACTGCCTCTGTCACCTTGTTAGTCACAAGGTCCTTGGCACCCTGGGCAGCCTCCGCAGCATTGACAATAGTAGAAGCAACTGCAGACTTGGTCAGTCCAATACTGTCTTCCACCATGTGTTTAGTGAGGTCTACTGCCTCTGTCACCTTGTTAGTCACAAGGTCCTTGGCACCCTGGGCAGCCTCCACAGCACTGTTAACAGTGGAGGCGACCATTGACCTAGTCAGCTTGACACTGTCCCCAACAACATTTTTAGTGAGGCCCACAGCTTCAGTCACTTTATCAGCCATTGCTTCTTTTGCCTCACAGGCAGCATCCATAGCAGATGTCACTTTGGTGGAAACCAGCTGCCTGGTGTCTGAGATTACCTACAACAAGGAGAGGGAAAGATTTTTTTTTTTAAATTGGTTTTCCCTCCCTGAAGTAGCTTTTCCATATGGCTAAATTGTGCTTGCAGTCTTGGGGGGGAGCTGGGGAAGTCAGTACACCTATATTTACATGGACATGTTCACTTCCACATGCTGAAAGCATCTCTCCAGCTTTCATCAGCTTGCAGTGCTTCCTCTAGCCCATACCAGGGACTGACCTGACAAAGCAGCTGAAATTTATTTCCCCATGTTCTTCCATACCCATAACAGTTCCATCAAGCAAGACATCAAGTCATGGCTTCCCCAGGAAAAGCCTTTACTTTACCTTATCTGCTGGCTGTTGAAGGAAAGGCAAGTTCTCCTCCAGTTGATCCAGTCCTTTACATGCATATTCATTTACAAGTGCAACTAGAAAAGACAAGAGGTACCAGTTTATTCTTCAATTTGGAGAGGGGTTTCTGACCCTACAATGGCCAATTCAGGATACACTCATGAAAGCAAGCCAAAAAAAGTCACCACCATTCCAGGATGGGGTGCGTGTGTTTTGTTAAAAAGTGAACAAACCCTACAATTTGGCAGGTTCAAATAGTCTCCATTTTGCCTTCCCAGCTTGCTAGCTATTGGCAGCACATTGCTCCAACTGGAGTGTAATACTTGCCCCTGGTGGGTAGGGCGACTGGTTTAAAGGGTTGAAAAGTTGGGATGAGACAGACTGAGCTATATCCAAGATGGACACTGCTACTACCAGTTGGGATGCTCATAACTGGGAGTGGTGGAGAAAGAGCAGGGAGTTTTTGCTTAGTGACTTAAAGAAACCACAGACAAGAGGCCAGACTTTGTTTCTGCTACCAACAGTTTCATGTCCATGAAATTCAGTGGGTTCATTGAGCAGCTGGGACTGCTGAGTGGAAGACTCAGTGCTACAATTAACTAGAACAACATGCTACAGGAAATGTATATCACCCAACAGGCACATGAAACTCCCCTCCCCACCTATTCCTCTGTGTAGAAAGGGTCACTCCAGCCTCTTCACTTACTTTGTGGCTCAAGTTGGTTCAGGATGGGCTGTGCCCCACCAACCACGCTACCTACTGCGACAGCAGCCACAGTCTCAGCCACACTGCAGACACCACTGAGGTAAGGATGTGTCTCCTTGGTGTAGTTGTAGGCAGATGAGACCAGGTTGAATGCAGAGTTGAGCAAGGGCAAGCTGGTTACCCGATTGACAGCACTCTAAAACCCAAGAGAAGTAAATGACATTAGAGATCCACCTCAAGCTGGTGAGTGAGTACCAGCCATGTGTCTATCCAGAAAGGTCCTAAGAGGACATCCAGTCTAGCTTCTCATCCTTCTTAAACTAAGAGTTGAAGGGACTCATCCAGAGACCACTAGCAAGTCAGCAACAAGCCAGGATTGAAAATTCAAGCTCTGGGCTCATGAATTCTGAGTCACACTGAGTTTCAGCATCAAACCCAGATGTGGAAATAGGACCTGTAAGAGCTCATGTTTCAGAATTACTTGCATTACTTGAGCCAGCCCTGAAGTTCTCTCTTGAGAAAAAAGTTAGGTTCTGTTCATACGGTTAATCTTTCTGCTACTCTCAGCCTGGTTTTGAGGTGCTGACCAAAGTTAGTTTATCAGCATTTCTGTCAGCAGATTAACTGTTGCACGTTAGAGTACTAGCTGTCCTGCCACCTACCGCTTGCTGCTGTTCCTCAGCATTTAGCAGATCTTTTTTTGTGGTCTTTTCTGATGCCATACTGAATTCAACTGCAGCTGAAAGGAAAAACAAGAGTATAACAGCATGAGTACAACAATTTCCTTCAGTGAATTAAAGTTTTACTAAAACTGGTGAAAAGCAGAGGGCAAAGTTGGGATCCATCATTCTGCATGTCCTAGGAATATTAGAGTGACATCACTAATCTTTCTTGCAAGGGTATGAAGATATTTGAGACTCCATGATTTATGATGTTCAAGTATTTATGTAGGACAAGGACTGTACCACCCAGTCACCTCCCTCAATCCCCAAACAGCCAAATACTTTAAATAAACATCCTACTTATTTTATTGCTGATAACATTTGACAGGCTTCAAAGTTGCAGGTTATCAGATAGTTCTCACCCACTTCTGTGTCATGCATTTTCTCTGGTAGAGATAATTCTGGTTCAGCTTCCCGCTACACAGGCTCTTTGCTGGCCAACGACTGGAACACTTGAAGGAAAGATGTACCCTGCAGAAGCAGGGCTAACAGTGGGAATCACTGAATGTTGTCTTACTCGATCATGACATTGCTGTCCTCCTAACAAGTCCTGCTGAAATGCAGCTGCAGCAGGGCTTGTTACAACAGTAGTGTAAGTAATTTTTTAGTTTTAATTTTCAAAACATGATAAGCTCAAATAGTTTAATAATGGAGTTTAAAATTAGAAATATTTATTAAAAAAACCTGAACTTGTTTAATACCCTGTAAGGGGGTAAAGCCCTCAGTTTTCACCCACTTTGTCTGAAGTAGAGATGGGTTTTGCAATGGCTTAATCCATTTTCCTCTGAGGGGGAGGAAGAGACTGGCAGGACTTCAGCTCTCCTCCAGAAAGGTGTCAGGGCCAGAGATTGAACAGAGATGCTGAAACAGCAATAGGCATATTTTACCTTCTTGAAAAGTGTCCAGAGTTTATAGCCCCTCTCCTCTGAAGTACCCTTTGCAAAAGACATTGAGATGAGAGTCATTTGAGTCATTCCACTATGCCTGTGTTCATAGTGGGGAACTTTGTTATCAGCTTCCCCACCACTGGTAACTCCAGCAACACTGGCAGTCTCACAGCTCTGGGAAGGATATGAAAATCCTTCAAAGTTTTCCTAGAAGGATGAGCCAGGTTTCACAGCTGCAGCATTCTGGCTGGCTACCTTGAAACTTGCCTTCCCATCCTACTAACCAGCTAGGCAGTAAATCCCTCCTCACTTCCTGTGAAACCAAGTCTCAGAAGTATTCTCGTTACATAATGGGATTAAAGAAGTATAAAAAGAAGTATAAAAGTGATGCAATATCTTGAATGTGTATTGGCATCCCCAGCATAGACTAGGTCAGTATCTGGACACTCCAGTATCGTGATAAATCCAGGATTACTTCTCAGCCTTAGTCAGGCACAGCAGGGATTTCAGCATATTCGCTCTTCAGTGCAGTGTCTGCTTTTCTCTCCCTTGCCAGTTAATTCCTATTCTTAGAATTGCTATGGCATTTTCCAATGAAAAAACCCCAAACCAAAATTCCTCACAAACTGGATTCCCAAGCCAAGCACTGCTCCAGGCTCACTGGCAGATTCTACCCAAAAAACTTGCCATCTGATTTGTGACAGAGACCATTGTCTTGTTTCTTATGTTCTTTAACTTGTGTAAGGTTTTTATTTTGCTGTGGAAACAGGAACAGAGAGCTGGGTAAGAAGTAGTGAAACAACCATGGATAGAGCTAGGGGGGACATCTCAGGAGGTAACTTGGCAGGACATCAAATATTGCTGCATTAACCATGCAATTAGTCAGCATTTTAGTGAGATTCAAGCAAGGCAGGGATGCAGAGTGCTACATGTCAGCAGCAAAAGTTGTTGCAAAAGTTGTCACAAAAGTTGGGACCTCCAGCCTCTCAAGCGAGAAGCCCAGATCCAGCCAGCGCACTTCTTTCTGCACAATCCTGACAACCACCCTGCCTGGGGGGCTGCCCCATTTAACAGCACAGCAAAAATACAGCTTGAACTTTATCAGCCTGGGAGAACTTCTAGAAAACTGCTCCAAAGAAAAGCAGGGCTTGAACATAAAGTCTCAGTCCCAAAGTCCACAGGGTTTGCTCAGTTAGTGGTTATTCGCCTTGCTCTGCTTCAGGGCAAGTTTGTTGGTTTTTTTGAAGCCAAGTAGGCTGAATCAGTCTGCAGCCCTGTCACGGGGCAAAGCACAACTATTTCAATACCATTACAAACAACCCCTTTGCTCAGTTACTTTACTTCTAGACAGGTAGGAAAAACCTCAAACTGCAGAGTGTCTTACTGACCTTGGTGTCAGGGTTAGCACACAGAGGCACACCACAGCAAAAAAAAGGAGGAAAGGACTCTAGTATGCTAGCATAAGTCAGGAGTAAATCCTTGGCTGATGTAAAAACTAGTGCAAAGTTAGAGTCAACCTCTGAAGTACTAGGAGCCCATCTTAATTATAGGTGCAGCTGTGTCAGTGACAATCCTTGCAGCACAGTCACATTAGAACATGGTTTGCTTTCCTCTGTGTAGGAGGAATCGGCATGTGTTGCAAACACCAGTATTTGTTGTGTGGGCACATCTTCATGAGCTCACAGCATGGTTTTATTTTCTCTTTCTAGTCTCTTCCCTACAAAAGTGCAAAACAGACCTTGTTTTACTTCAGAGAGTGGAGGAAAGCACAGAGCTTAGCAACTCTGGGTCAGTTGTTTCAGAATCCTTTGGAGAAAGGCACAGCTTCAAGCCAGCATAGCTGCAAGTGGGAATCCCAGCAGGCAGACCCCATGCATGGGAACCACCAGGCAGAAAAGCACAAACAGCGTCACTGTTTGCTTTGGTTACGGTTTGCTTTGTATGAAAATTATGATCAGATGATTTCATACCATTGGTACATCAGAAATTATTAGGTCACTGCTGGAGAAAGTTCTTGCAACGGGTAGTTTCAGAAAGATGAAACTCTTCAGTGCACGTTTCTAGCACGGCACAATAGCTTAACTGCTGATTATTGCCCAATTTGGCACAAGTCTCAGCTCAGTGAAACAGCAAGGGCAATGGCACCAAAACTGCCAAGCTGCTACCCATTTTCCCTGCCTCAGACTGTCACAGCCAGTGCAACATGCTAGCCTGGCAGAAGAGCAAGTACTTTCCTGCTGGGGTAAGCACCGCCTTTGATTTCTGTCACTCTGACAATGACCAGCATACATAAAGCTAGTTCTTTAACTTGTGCAAAGTTTTTATTTTTCCTGTGGAAAGAAGCTCTGCCCCATGAAGATAGCCTGCTGTTACATTGTCCTGCAGACAGAGAGGTAGGATCTTGTTGTTCAGGAAGTTTTTCTCCTTTCCAAATGTGTTTTACCTTGGGAAGACAGATTGAGCCATAGCTAGCGTGCCTGGTTCAATAGCTTAACTGGCAATTCCTTAATGACCGTTTAGGAAAACAAAGCTAAATTTAGTGCTTTAGATATGAGCAGGGAGGGCTAATCTAGGCAAAGGTATTAATTTGTGGTTAAAGCACTTATTTACATTCTTTGAGATTTGCCACTGATACCCCAGTTCCCATAAATGCAGTCAGCAGAACTGGGTCACAGGATGTCTGCTGCAGTGGGAAATGGCACTGCCCACAGCTGAGGGAGTTGTTTGCAAGTGCTCTGAGGGCAGGGTTAGTTTTGGGAGGAGGATGAGATGATTTTCAGCTTTGACCTTCAGACATTAGTTCCAGAATTGGTGGCAGAGATGCCCATCTAACCCTTCTGGAAAAGTCATCAGCATTAGGGAACCTCAAAGATTAAAGCCACTTTTGCAGATGGAGGGCAGGTTCCCCAGCCCCCCCACTTCCAATGGAAATTAGGCACCACAGCCAGTGGCCCATTACTAGGTCAGTAACTCCTTGGAACAGTGAGTGTATAAGCTATCCAAGCTACGAGAATTTGGATGTATTTTAGGAAAGAGGAGAGGGAGTTTAATTAAAACAGCTTCTGGGCTTTCCAGTACTTTCCATTTACCAATTTTTCCATGAGGACAGACTCAGTTTCAGACAGAAGCTATAACTTGCAGAGCAAGCAGCATGCTGCTTGCTTTTTAACACACATTTTCATCTGGAAGTTTCAGCAGAACCGGCTTCAGTAATTGAAGTCCTTCGCAGCCATACCTGAAACTTCAGGTAATCACAACCACATTTAAGAACCCTGTTAGCCTTGACAAACACTAAGCTAGTTTGCTAAGTGCTCCCTCCAGCAAGCTGGCAGAGCCATGCATGACTGCAGCCTCAGTCTGCAGAGAGACAGTGCTCTTGAGCAAGAAAGTTACCTTGTCACTCGGGCCACCCCCTTCGTTAACACCATTATCATGCCTACACCAAATAATCATGTGAAATAGCTACAGGCAGGTCTGGCAGCACTGTCAACAGGAAGAAAATGCCCAACTGATCCATCTGCCTCCCAAAGCACATACCGCTTCCCCCAAACATCGACACAAGTCAGCGGTGTTGTCCAGGGTGCACATCACGTGCTGTCCCTGTGTGGCTGGGTGGGAGAGCCACCTCCTGCAGCCCCCCGACACAGCTTTGATCTTCACCAAATGATAATCAGAAACAAGCTTTCACACCTGTCCTGGTTTCAGCTGGGATAGAGTTAACTGTCTTCCTAGTAGCTGGTACAGTGCTATGTTTTGAGTTCAGTATGTGAAGAATGTTGATAACACTGATGTCTTCAGTTGTTGCTCAGTAGTGTTTAGAGTATAGTCAAGGATTTTTCAGCTTCTCATGCCCAGCCAGGACACCTGACCCAAACTGGCCAACAGTGTATTCCATACCATGGGACGTCCCATCTAGTTTAGGAACTGGGAAGTGGGGGGCAGGGATTCGCCGCTCGGGGACTGGCTGGGTGTCGGTCAGCGGGTGGTGAGCAATTGCCCTGCACATCATTTGTACATTTCAATCCTTTTATTACTACTGTTGTCATTTTATTAGTGTTATCATTATCATTATTAGTTTCTTCCTTTCTGTTCTACTAAACTGTTCTTATCTCAGCCCACGAGTTTTACCTTTTTCCTTCCGATTCTCTCCCCCATCCCACTGGGTGGGGGGGAAGTGAGTGAGTGGCTGCGTGGTGCTTAGTTGCTGGCTGGGGTTAAACCATGACACCGTAGCACTGGAGCTGCTTGGAAAGAGGGTGCTGGGGCAGGAATTCAGCCCCTGTCCCCCAGGCTGGAGGACCTGTTCCCCAGGTGGGCACGTGCAGGGTCAGCCAGTGCCAGCAGGCAGCTCGTGCTTGGCTTTTTCCAAAGAGCAGCTGCGTTAGCAGCCAGTAGCACAGCTGGAAAGTCCATGCATGGGTGGTGGGGCTCAGCACAGCAACACCTGCTCTTGGGCTGCTCCATGGCATCACAGACATTGTCAAGAAGCCCCAGAGAAGCAGGACATGGTGTCTGTGATGTGAAAACATCACTTAGCCATGACATTTTCTTGGCAAATCTCTCCTACCCTGCAGCATGGGTGCTGTAACTACTCAAGGAGTAAGACGTGCTCTCCCACTCTCAGCCTTTGCCTGGCTACAGCAAATACATGATGGTGAAATACGCTGCTTCTCAAGTTTGCTGTGATTTTTGAGATAGGGATTGCCTTTTATTTTTATACTTGCAGAGGGCACAGCAACGCAGGACTCTGAGACTGCCTGGGGGAGGTTTGGGCTTCTTAATAGCAATAACAAATAATGAAAATTTTAGTTAACGCTTTGCTTTTCCATTTGTGCCTTTTCATCTTCAGATCTCAAAAAATGGTTTGAAACCATCAATTAAGCTTCCTGTTTTCTGTTTTCAACATCAGTGGGGGAGGAAACTGAGGCACAGGTAAGAATTGTGTGAAGTCTTCTAAAGCTATTAAACTGATTGAGTCACCTTGGTTTTGGCCAGTGAATGCAGGAGACCTTGGGTCTCATTTCTGTATTGTCCGCAGTAAGCCATGAAGGCAGCGGGAGCAGGAGATTGTCAATGGTTTTTGAAAATGTGCTGTTAAGCTGACAAAAATGTAGACAATTATCACTTCTCAGCTTTAAGGTTAGAATGAATCCCCCTCCTTAATTAAGTCAGACTTATCATGGAGTCGTTGGCTGTAAAGACCTCTGGAGGTCAGGTAGTCCAACCTGCTGCTGAAGACAGGAGTATTAGCAATGCCAGGTCAGGTCAGCTGTGGGCTTTGTCAAGCTGAGTCTCAAAAAGCTCCGAGGGATGGAGATCTCACACAGCCTCTGTGGGTATTGGATCCAGTATTGCATCACGCTCCTAATGAAGAAGCAGTTCCTAATGTCCACTCTGAACTTCTCCAGCTACAAATTGTGGCTTTTGCCTCTTGTTTTACCACTTACACTGCTGGGAAGAGTTTTTGCAACATTTGTCTCTGTGAGATAAACTTCATATTCTAGCATGACCTGGGAACCTTTCATCTAACAAACTCCCTGACAGTGCATGGTCCCTCCTTTGAGCTCATTCCCTTCACAGGGTAAATTGCAGTTTTGAAGTGTTCAATGCTGAAGCTGATTAGCAGGTGTCACATTTATAGGTTGTGATGTGTGTACGGGAAAGAATGGACATTCTTGTTTGTCCTCTAATGATCTGATGACAAGTTTTGGGTTTTTTTTCAGGAGCCAGGAATCAGGAAATTAGTCCTGTGTTTTTCTGAATGTTGGCCTGTATATGGACAGTGGCTTTACCTCAGCTAAAGTGTGAATTATGCAAATTGTTAGTTAGTTCATGGGTGTGAAGTGTCTGAGTAGGTCAGTTGCAGTGGTGATGGTGAAAGTCTCATGAGGCAGGTTGTATTTCATCACCTAAGTGTGTAAAACAGCACTATCTGCACGATACACCATCGTGTGGCTTGTCATGTGGCACAGACAAATGTGAGCAGAAGTGGCAAGTGGTTTGTGTGAGATAACATCGGTAATTATAATTAATTAATAAGACAGTATTTAATATCTAAAGTGTAGGTTTAGATACTAGGTCAAAATACCAATGCTTGGAGCTCCTGCTGAGTGGTAGACCTGCCTGCAATGCCAGAACACTGAAAACGTGGGGATTGCAATTTCAGAGCAAAGGTTTGCATGATTATTTCTGTGATTCTTGTTACTGTATAAACGCCACATACTTAAAGCCAAGATAAAATCAGTTCTAAGAAGTTTGGTGGGCGTGGGAAGGGCGTAGGAGGAAGCAGAGAAACATGTTTGGGGAAGAGAAAGGGAGTCGTGTTGGCTGGCGTGAACAAGCCCTATGGCACTGGGCAGCGCTTCCCACAAAAGGCAGCATCATGTCAGTAACTGCGGCCTTTGTGTAAATGCTGCATCATCAAGACATGGGGCAGAATCCTTTGGTGATGCCCAGACATAAGCCCCATCTCCCATGCCTGTCGGCAGCCAGGAAACCCCACTCCTCTACAGCGCTGCTGCTAGCTTACAGCTCTTGTTTCAGCTGCGTCCTGGGGTCTGCATGGCTTCTCAGTTGTCCCAGTTCTGTTTGGATTTCTGTTAAGTGGAAAACATGCAGGTATGTGGAGGATTTGGAGGATCAGGCCCTTATGTTGGGTCCCCACTGTTGGGCGCAATTCCTTTCCCTGCTCTGAGGTGCGTCACAGCTCAGCATCATCTCTCTGGGGACCAGAGGCCACATGTGACATTGAAGTGCCCCATCTGCAAGTGTTCATCTACTGCAACGGAAATGATCTTGTTGATTGTCCATGGCATTTACTCCATTAGCGGCCTGCCATGATGCCATGGTCACCTTCCCGGAGGCAGACACAGGCACGAGAAAAGATGATTCAAGGGTGAGGCATGTGTTGCTTTGATTTCTGTTCCTCAGTTAAGTCAAGCAAACCCCTTGGGCTTCCAGCAAACTGCTTGAGAAGCTCTGTACTGCTGAGCTCAGGTGTTCCTCTTTTAGGAGCTGTAGCGCAGTGTTGTCTGGAGCCCACTGAGGGGACAAGTCAGCCTGTGATCTTTGCCATTCATTGCTGTGCAAAGTCCACAAGATGTTTGCTGACAGCCCCATCTGTCTCCACTGCCTGGAGACTTTTTAATGTTCCTGTCTTCCTCTGTCCTCCACCGCTTCCCCTTGCTGGGAGTGAGTGGTCCTTGGGGTAGCAGTGGCAGAAATAGTTTTAGCTGATCACATCAACTTAAAAAGCACTCTTTCCCCCTCACACTCCAGCTTCCTGTCAGCCACAGCACTTGGTGGTGCTCATCACAGCAGCCTCGTCCAAGGCCACAGTCTGAAGGAATGTTGAGTGTCCTTGAGATAGTCCTGCAGCGCTGGGCGTCTGGATCCAGAGCAGAGTGACGGGGGCAGGGCTGTGGCAGAAGACGAATCCTTGCTGGATCCTGTCCTACGCTACCCATCTGTTAGTCTCTTTCACCAGTGTATGGCCTTCTGAAAACAGTTCTCCAGAGAGGTACCAAAAGCTGCAGCCCAGCTCTTGCCTCCCAACAACACCTCCTGGTCTCTCCAAGTCTTCAAAGCGCTTTCCTAGTTCAGGGCATGCTGCAGCTCTCTGCTGCCCTCAAACTGCATGAGCAGAAACAGGACTTGCCTGTGTCCTGCTGCCTGGTGGCCCATCTCACCTTGAGGGTATCCCAGCCCCTGCTTCCCTTTCGGCAGCTTACCTACCCTAGCATAAGGGCGGGCGGCAGCAGCTCAGGCGGGTTCCTTCCCTGAGCCCCAGCCGGCTCTGCCCTCACTGCAGGCAACAGCCTGACCGGTTCTTGGCTGCTCTCCCAGTCTTCCAGTTCACCTTTCTGCTGGTTTTCAGACTGCAAGTTGTTTTTTCTACACCCATCTGCTTCTCCCTCTTCTGCTGCACTCTTGCTTCATACCTTTAGGTAGAAGTGGGGTGGGTTAACATAATGCTGTTGGTTTTTGATAGATGAGAGAGGGTGGATGTCATCTGGGCCTGATAAGTGTGTCCTCTCCATCTCAGGCTGTTGGTGAGACCCCTACTCTTGCTTCCCCAGTAATCAGAAACACAGGCTCCCTTTACCTTACTCCCCAGCCATGGGGTTTGTCTAGATTTACCCCAATTATTTTGGAAATTGTAGGATCGTTAAGGAGGGCAGCATTTGTCCTGGACCCCAGCATCATCTCTTCATTTTGGTCTTCTGAGAGAAGTGGTGAAGATCTCATACAGGACAACTGAGTGCAAACCAAGTAGCACCTTTTAAATGTATTTGCTTAACCTGTTGTTGATATCTGTTGTGCAGACAATGGTTTCACCAAGGGCAAATATGTTTCTCCCTAAGGAAATCTGAAGAATCAGAGAGCCTCTTTGCTGAAGCAGCAGAGAAAAACTGCTTCTTGTTCAGCTTCCATCACCAAAGAGCCTTGCATGGAGGGAGAGGAAAACAAAATCTGGTGAGTTCCTGTTGCTGGGTGCACCATGACTCTGTATCATCCCAGTGCACGTGGAAACTTGAACACGCTTACTGAGACTGCTTGACCTTACATATAGGCCCTGCTGTTTAACGTAGGGGAAAGTCTCTTGCTGTGGTGCATATGACATGACTGAATCATCACTAGTCCTTGCAAACAGCTATGCAAAGAAAATGTATTTGCACACGTAAAAGCATAAATATTAGCGCCTGTGAGGAAGGCCAGAAAAAAATGGTTAAAAGCAGTATGTTCTAGCTATCTTGATTTTCTGTGACCAACCATCCTGGTTCAGGGAGTACTGGCTCTCAGAGCACTTCCTACGGCTCAGGGGGTTAAGCCATACAATGCATCATGTGCTAGAAGAAAAACATAGTGCAAACCCTAGGACAGAGATGGCAGAATTTACTTACGGTGTCACTTAAACACTAAGAATAAGAAGGTTCAGCAAAGTAGTGGAAGTTTGTGGATGTTGAGTAGTAGAAAGTTAAGGCTCTAGATGAGAACATGAGAACTCTGTGTGTCCCCAGCTCAAATAGTTTTGCTTTAGGTCCCATGTTTTCCTGCAGTGGTTTCCACATCTGAGCATTGATTTCCAAGCTCCATGAAAACCAAACTATTTCTCTTAGAAAAGGTGAAAGACAGAATTTATTTAGTTGAACATCAAACAATGATTTTTCATGAGGACATTCAACTATTAGTGATGGGAGGCCATTAAATAGCTAGCTGGGGCAAAGGGCCAGTTCTCGGCATTTTTTCCACCTGTGTCAGGTAGAATAGTCTGTTTCCCTTACCTGATCTTGTGCATGTTCTTCATGATTTGCAAGGGATCTTCTCTATGGCTGCATATAGCTGCTTCTCTATAGCTTCTCTATAGCGGCATCTTCTCTATAGCTGGGATGATTTCAGAACCACAGCAAGTCCTTCGGACAAAGCAGATGTGGCCTCTTCAGCTGGTGAGTGTGGAGGGAAGCCAGGGAGGTTAGCTGAAGGAGAAGTCAAAGGTGCACATTCCTGAACCCAGCCGGCCTTCTGCAAGCTAAGCAACTTGCTGCTACCATGAGTCCTTTGAACATTTAGGGTGTTTGTACCTCTTGTGATGCTTCTTGTGGTTTTATGGGACCAGCCCCCCTGCTATTTTTCCCAGAAAGTGCTGTAAAGGCATTGTAAGGGCTGGACTTTGAATCATAGTAACTGTAACGGGGAGACTGTGCTGCCTACCCAAGGATAGAGTATCTGTTCCAAGGATTCCCCTTGGAATTGATAAGACCAGATACCAGTTTTTCATCCAAGACTTGTTTTAATGATGTTTATCAGCTGGTAGTTCTTATGTACATGCCTGGTCTTGTGTTTCTCCTGAAACATTGTGCCAAAACTTCACTTTGAACAATATTTCCATGGGCTGGGAGACTGTTAGAATTTTGTCTTGCTAACTGCATCTTTTTGCAAATTAATTCAACAATGCTTTAAGTTTTCATAAACTGAACTGGATATCCCTGCTGGCAGGAGAACCGAGATATTGTTTCTTCACAGCATGGGGCATTTACCAGATGGCAGAACAGTGTTTTCAATCAGAATTGTAACTCCAAAGAAAAGAAATGCCTAAAACAATCTGAAAGGGAGGAAACTAAAACTCATCAGCCTCTTAGATAACTGCAATATAACCAAGTCATGATCTTTTTTTCCGACATTCCGTGGAAACCCGAAGCTCCCAGGGCTTTATCTCACTAACACCAAGTTCTCTATAAGTTACTCTGACAATGTTCCTGTTTTAATAGGAAAGAGGACCTTAAAAGGAGAGCATATATAATTTAACCTTCAATGAAATCAATGTTCCACTACTAGAATGACCTAGAATTGAGCCTTATTTCAAGTGATTTGTAGACGCAACTGAGCAGTGTGTAGGATGCAGCCCAGTTTTTGCAGTATGTGGATTCACTGAATGAGTAAAAGTTTCTCTAGAAAGTGGGCTTCTTGTTTTCTGACTCCGATAGTTCTAGGGGTGCTACTAGTCATATGCAGCAACTGGCCAGAGCCTTTTCCTTGAACAGTCCATGTCTTACAGTAAGACTGTGTTCCCTGCGCCGTGATGGGACTGCCGAGGGTAAAAGAATGTATGTGTATTATGTACTTGGATACGTGTAGGTATAGTTCTTAAATAGACATGGGGCATATGGTAGGGTCAAATGCAAGGCAATAAGGTGCTGTCAGAAACATATTTTAGCATCTTAGTGTGCGTGACATGAATAGCTAACTGTTCAAATATACAATCCTTGTACATCAGCTTAATGGGACACAGGGTACTCAAGGCAAGAAGGGTCAGGTCCGTATCTTAAAGTGGCCTTTTTTGACCTTCTTACGGCACTTCTGTAGAGATGTAAGTGATGCTGAAAAAACATCTAAAGAGGGTAGTAGAAGTCTGTCATTAAACTGTCCTGCATCTGGAAGTCATGAGGGATGTGGGTTTTCCACACCTCTGGAAGTGGGACTGATGTGGGTGACAGAATATGGAACCAGGTACGCTGGTAAGCAACACTACTTTGAACTTTAGGCTAGGAGATCCAACGCCGAGATGCTTTAGACGTGCGACCTGTCCTTATAAGGGTGAAAATGTTTTTTCCAACACTCAGCCTTTCCTCTTGCTCCCTGCCAGGTCTGTAACATCTGAGAACCCTCTCAGGCTGTGGGAAGGGCTTGCTGCTGTGTAGGTCAAGGTTAAGACTCTAGTGCATCTACAAGGGGAAAAAATGACTTTCTGGCAAGGCAAAGCCTTAGGATCTGGAGGAAATGAAGCCTGACTGCTGCAGGTCGCAGGTCAGATTCAAGGCTTTTGTGCATTGACACATGCCTAACCTTTGGTACTAACCTAATCTAGGCCAGTGACTTTCAACTGGTGATCTGTGGCTTAACTGTGGGATCCCCAACAGATCCTAAGAAAGGAGGGGAATAAGGAAGACGTGCACGCTGCTTAGGAGGCTTCTGTGTGCTGTATGCATTCTCTACAGCAGTCTGCAAATCAGGGGGGGTTGGGAGGGTGCTACATCCCTCTGATTTTGTATTTTTTAATGTGAGAGGTTAGCTCTGTGGGTGCAGGGGGGTATAACACGGGAAATACTGTTTTGCATTTATCTTCAGTGCGCCTCGTGTTCTCTTTTGTCCGTAGACGCAGGACGGCGGCTCTGCAGGGCCTCGGCAAGTTGCAGTGTTGGTGGAGCTATTCTGGCAGCACCGAACGCGCCGCCATTCCCGCTCTCCCACCCCGAGGTCTCTCCCCGCCTCAACCACCGATTTTCGTGCTTTTCTACTTCTTGGAAGCTGACTTTTCTCAGAAACCTCTCGGTAATCCCCTGTTTACAGTTTACTCCATCCGATGGCCGTCTTTAGCAAACTTTATAGTTTTTAATTTCCTCATAGCGTGTGTAGTTTTGGGGAAAGACATCCTTCCGGACCAGCCCTTTTTGTTGGCTCACGCAGCCACGCGCACGGCCCTGCCGTGTCACCCAGGCCACGTTTGCACGAGCGGGCCCATACACAAGCCCCAGAAACAACCGGGAGCTAACGGCCCCGGGAGTTAGAGGCCTCTTGCGGATTATTCAGATTATTCGCATTATTCGGACAGGCGACAGGGCCTGGAGCTCCCTGGGGGGGACAGGACCCCTCGGCCGAGGGGCTGCATTGGGACGGCGGCTGTCAGAGGGAGAACCGTTCGGGTCTCCTGTCCCGCAGGCTGTTTGCAGGGCTCTCCGGGACCCGGTTTTTAGAACAATAACCGGCACCGTGGCCTCGGCCCCGGAGAGCGAGGGGCTTTCCCGGCGGCAGAGCGGGCGGGGGGCGGCGGGTCGGGGCTTCTCGCCGGGGATCCCCGGTGGAGCGCCGGTTCCGGTGGG